GGGAGGGGTGCGAAGAGTCTTTTCCCCCAGCGGCACAAGCATCAATACTGCAAAAGCCGGAGTTTAAAGCTAAAACTAAAGTAAAATAAAACCTAAAGTAGCCCTAAGTAGCAGTGTTACAACTCTGTTCCTAGTTTTCGCATTGTTCCAAGATGAGCGGAGTGGGGGAGGGAGGACTTCTTTCCCTCCGCCAGGGCTCTGTCCTGAACCCGCCTGTGCAACACTTGCCCAGCAACGAAGAGGGCAGCTGCGCTAGGTCCTGCTGATTTTTCTCCAGTAGAGCGATGCTTCTGGATTCGCATTAAGCCTTCTTTTTTTTCTTGCTTCTTTATCAGTTATGATTGAAATTCTGTTCAGACAATTGCCTCGAACGATACGCCGCCAGTAAAATTGCCAAAAAAGACAGTTGTAGCAGCAAAGAAGAAGAAAGCTACTGAAAAACCGGGTAAAACTCATTAAATTGGCGCTAGCTTATTTCAGGAAGTTAAACCCATTATCATCAGCTTGCTTGTAAGCAACCTTCGATAGAGGGAGCCATCGATAGCCTTTGTTAGCGGATAGAGAGCTTTTGCCATTTGCTATTTCAAACAGATTAGTGCTGAATTATTTGATCTTTGATCTTTTCAAAAGTCTGAAATATTTTACAGCAGCACAAAATGATCCGCTGGATGTTTTTTTGGATTTGGAAAAAGAGGAAAAAGAAAATCATGGAAAACGATTGAGCATCGAGAAAATTTACCAGAAGAAAACACAACTTGAGCATATTCTCTTGCGACCCGATACATATATTGGTTCGGTTGAGTATACTGATCGTGCTGTATGTTTTTTTTTTCCATCGCTTGCTTGTTTTTTCGAAAAACTGAAGGGATTTTTGCCATGTTTTCGTCAATTTTGATTCATTTTTCGCATCCGAAGCTGTAAAAATTCAACTAAAAAAATGTAATTTTGCTTGTAATATCAGTTGGCTTTCCTCAATGTGTTGTTCCCTTCCCTCAATCCCCTCCCTGGCTTTTAATATCCAGTTGATTTTGGGGGTGGGGATTGGACGAAATTTAGAGATTTTTCTTAAAAAATGCCGATAATTTCAGCCAACATGGGTGTACGATATTGAAACGGATCGAATAGTTCAGCGTGATATTTCGTATGTCCCGGGCCTCTACAAGATATTCGATGAAATACTGGTGAATGCAGCCGATAACAAGCAACGTGATCCTAAAATGAGCCTGATCAAAGTGAACATAAACAAGTAATCACCTCTGCTACCACGTTTTCTGGTCCCTCCTCCCCCTCCCTTCCCGCGCTTGCCTCATCCCAACCCTTTTTGTGTGGCGTATTAGACAGTTTGATAGCTCAATATTTGTAGATTTCCTTGCGGGAAATTGCTGGGTTTGAAGATCATTTTTTTTCTGTTGAATTTAGAAATGAAGAAAAATAAAACCCTCATAATTTTCACTCTCTGTGAGCAGCAGAGGCGTTTAGAATTAGCTCAAATATAGAGTATTCCAGCAGCAGATAAGGCTACCGGTGACTCCCTCTTTCAAGAGTTGCATAGAAGTAAAGAAATATCAGCTGCTTGACCAACAAAACAGATGGACGGAAAAAGATCGTGAAACACTGGTTTTGTCACTAGCAGAATCGAGCCGTCGAAACGTTAGGCATCAGAGTGGTACCACCTCTGTTCACTGTAGTAGTTTGTCAGCTTAGGCTGAGCCTATATACTATTTTTTCTTCAAGTAATTTCATATTTTTTTCGATTAATTTTATACGAAGAAAACCAAAGGCTATTTGAGTCGTTATTCTGGGCAGTTGAAAGTTATAATAAGAAGGAATGAGATAAAGAGAAAAAAAAAGAGAAAGGGAAGGTAAGAAACGAAAATTAGAAAATTTGTGAGATTCTTATAATGAGGTAAGAAGTGTTTCGGTCCATTAATTCGTATACATTTCTTACCATTACCACAATGTCAGTGATTTTGCTACAATGCTGTCAATCGCCCGGAGCAGCTATGCCAGGTTTTTCGATCTTGGACCGCCTGCTTGTATTTAGTACTCACAGCCATTTCAGATTTTTTGCACTAATTCTAGTTTTTTTGATTCTTTTTTTTGTTCCATTATTTTAAAATATCACTTATTTTGCAGGGAGAAGAATGAAATTAGCATTTACAACAATGGTCGTGGCGTTCCAGTTGTGTTGCACAAAATTGAGAAAGTTTATGTGCCAGAACTTATATTTGGGACGCTACTCACTTCCTCAAATTACGATGACAGTGAGCGTAAAGTTACAGGTGATTTTTCAAAAGAAATAGAAAAATTTACAATAAATGGCAACGCGCACCAGACTAGCCGGTGCGATCATGCGTTTTGTGCAATTCAGCCCA